TTAAACCCAGCAAGTGCTGAAAAGACGAGGTTGCCTATAGTCCCCCGGGGGCGGATAGCGGAGAAACTTTCAGTGAATGCTGACTGCGAACTCAGAGCTGTCGTGAATGCAAAAGGTCAAGCTCTGACGACTCAACTATGCCGGCATTGGTGCATCATCCAATGCCATTATCAGGCTCAAACCAGGCAGTTATTTGGAGATGGTCATCAGTTGGTGTAGATGCGCATTGACGCTCCCCATGCCGTGAGGCAGATGGTGGGCATTGTCGATAACGACGTTAAAACTGTCTTATTTCGTATAGCATTACGTTCACCTAATATTCGAAGCATTGCCTATTGTAGTAGGCCAATCTCCTGGTGTCGTATGCTAGGGCAACTACTACTTGGTATTTTTAAACTTTGAAAGAACTGCAGTACAGCAAAAGAGCATGCATGGACGCACCCGCTGTCGAATTTGAACGCAGGCGTTCCAGTAGTCCTTAGCTTCATACCGAGTGCATTCAGGACATTGGGCCGGGTGCATTGTGAAGTGCAGAATGGCTTTTTGTTCAACCAGCGTGCTCCCGTAGACCTCGCCTCGGACGACAACCTACAAGGGGATGAAAGAAGTTATAAATGAAACAAACAGATACGACATATCTCGGAAGAGGACATTTGCGCCGCAATCAAACGTCAGGAGACACGTGAAGGGAAGATATGTTTGGCACTCACCAGTTCTCAATAATTGGTCAATGTTAGTCACCGTAAATTGTCTACCTAATGAAATATCAGTCGAAATTCTGAGCAAAATGGCTACTTAAGTAGTATGCCTTTTTCTCATTGGTGTTCACTGTCCTAATAAACTCAAATATATCTTTTAGAAAAAACATCCTTTCTGGTACGCCTTCTTCAAATTGCATTTTTGAAGAAAGAAAGCCTTTAGGTTTTAAAAAACTTCTACTTATGACAGTTTTGTGACCATTAAATGTGCATTCATAAAGCAGCGTATCTCTCCATTTGTTAATGCTGCTTATAAAACACACAACTTGGTCAACATCCATATCAAAGTTTTATGTGAACTATATGACTTCTTTATCACACCGTAGGGAAATATTTACTTATCCTAAGACAGAATGTACACGGCGTATATTTTGGAGACCTTGAATTAAAGTTTACCGGCCGGTAGGGTTCAAAATTATTCGGCAATTCAAGAGCTTTTTAAAAACCGATAGATACACTTTCTTCAAATACACAATTTGAAGAAGGCGTAATTTACTACCCAACGAGTACAAGGAAGAATATTTTGTGCGTTTTTTCCACAACATTTAGTTGATTTTATTAGGGCAGTGAAAATTAATGAGGAAAAGGCATGCTAATTAAGCAGCCATTTTTTACAGAATATACCTTTTTGCTGGTGGTTAAAAGGAAGCTCGCTCAAAAGCCAGCATCCTAAAGTGACTAAAATATACTGAGAATAAGTCGAATCAATATAACAAACATATTTAATATGTTCGAATCGAAACAAAGGGGCGATAACCAAAAGCCAGTGGGGATGGCTCACCCGACATAAATTTAAGTCAATGGCTTAAAGCATTGCGCAAAAGACTTTTTGGTACACAATGGGTTTCTAGGTTAGTTATAAACGATAAACAGGACATTGTTGAGAAAGAGCAAGGCTTTGCAAATCTTAAAATTCGGTGAGTGATGAATGGAGACGCCCACCTAGGATTTCGACTAGTAGAAGAAGTCATCCCTTCGCCCAGCTATCTCCACACAACCACTGACCGGTAAATCAAAACTAAAATAACTTTCCGGACGACCAGACAGTCCTGTTTTGACCACGCTGACCTAAGACGCGTAGAAATTACGTACTCAACGATTGTAAGAAATTTACTAGAGGTTGGTACTCATATTCCGGCTGTTTTCGAAGCATTTTTACTTGCACTGAAGATCTGGATGGCCGAAAGTACGCTAAGTTAATTATAAGACAACTGGGGAAATGTGTAGGCAGCACAAGACGGAGATCAGGCTTACCTGGATAATCAGCCGCCGAGAGTGGGGCTCTGTGAAAACAAAAGAAGCCTCCTTCAGCCTTGTACCACTGCCGAGGCCTTTAACGCGCTTCAAGCAGAGGGAAAGCAGCTCGGGCGATTCCCAGGCGGCATAGATCCACTGGGCGGGCGGGTTTAGAAATCTAAACACAGAGTCCGTGAGAGCGTGAGCAACGGTTACCTTGAGCACTTGGGACAGAACGTGACTGTGTGCTGTTTGGGAATATCAGCTGCAATGTCACATTCCACTATTAGACAGGCCTCGCACATGTTGCTTGGGTTGGAGTGCATAGCAGCTCCACATTTGCAACACAAACTAAACAAGATAGGGGGAGATAGATTAGAGAAGATTGAGGGGCGAACTTACATCACAGACGGCTTCATCTCCTGCATGGTGTAGCACTCAGAGGGATTAATTTCCAGCTGATGCGGAGGGATTGCTGTTACAAACTATAAGTGGAAGAGGCAAAGAAAACAAACTGATTTAACAGTATCGAACAGGAAGGATGAATTACAAGAGGACAAAAACAGTAAAATGAAAGTTAATGACTGATAATACAGAGGAGCGAAAGGTGTATTTTTGACACGATGTTTCAATCAGTGAATTCGTCTACCAAAGTCCAGAGAATGGAGACGCTCGGATTACGCGCGCGCGCTATGCTTGTCGAAAATATGCCTATCGACTGTTCAAGATACGGTACTTTGAACATCAACGTTGTGTGATGTTTCTATTCCTAAAGAATGTGACATGCCTTCGGCAGCTGAGGTTCGCTTGACGGCTCACAAACGAAACCTTTAAATAAAGGGACTAGACTAGACCTTAAGTGCTATAAGACGTGCACAATAAATGACAAATTAGAAAGCGCTGTTAGAAAAAACGACCATGAGTGCACGCCAATATCACAGGCTATGAGAAAACAGCCTGTTTCTATTGCCCATTGAAAAGTGAGCCCAGACCAGTTATCCTCTGGAACACTGAAATAAAATGTAGATCCCCATTGAGGGGAAAATATTTTCACGTTTCATCAATCTCTTCAGAGGTTTTCAACGGTCCGTGTGCACCATCCCACTCGAGGGGACAATTGGCGACTACAAATGTTCACATTTGCTGTTAACTTAAATATTTTTCGATCTAGTAGGAACTGCGAACAGGCGGATCTCGTCAACTTGGCGCGGAGCTACTTTGCTATGAGATGGGAATCAGATGGACGTGTTAGTTCTAGCATGAGAACATGATACTCTCCGAAAGAATAAATCATGTAAAATTAGATAACTAGATAATGTAGGTCATTTTTTATTTGATGCACCATCCCGATACACGTCCAACATTCCATCCAGTAACTTAATTCATTAGCTCTCAACTGATAAAACAGGAATAGGCCAAATAACAACTTGGCACATTCACGGGCGGCGGACGCTCCAAGCACCTTCAGATCAAGTTAACTGCGAAATAACTATGCTCGCAGGTGTGGCAAAAAGGCAGTCACATACTAGCAGCAACGGAGTGGCCAGGGCACAGGGCTTTGGAGTATGGAAGACCAACTACTCTTAAAAGTACCGCAAAGCTAAATGGTATTATGCCATGGCGAACTTGAATTGACATCAAAAGCGTCTGTTTTCCATTGCTGACTTGAGTGGTATTTTAGCCAACAGGCTCCAGCAAACAGTTCAAGCAGCTGTTAGGGACACGCCCCTACTCAATCTCCCTAAGAAACCTCATTAAAAACAGCTGATTCAATTATTACAATTCATGCTGCGGCGTCTGAGGAAGTCGACGCGCTCCGAAACCCTGGCCTACTGGCGTGGACGAACAGCATATGAGCTGGACTGCTCAGTCGAGATTCTGAAATGTGCGACCATTACTATACATAAGGTCGGACGGCGAGCAGTGTCATCAATGCTTGAATGCCAGTCGACTGTACAGAGTCCGAATTCCAAACCAACAGTCCGTCGTCTATATTGTTAACTTCACCGTAACCCTTGCCTTCACCCATCATGTTTCCCGGGGGTGGATGATGAAACTAAACACGTCAGTAAAAATAAACGCCACGATCAGGATCTACTATCGCTTCGGCAGTGCACATGTTGGTCCACGAAAACCTCCCTCAAACGTTTGATCGTTCGTTGAAGTTTTCTCATATCACACATTGTGTTCAACAACGCCATTGACTGGATAGCCTGGAGGAGATCCAAGCGAAATTGTTGTGCTATAATTGCAACGGGGCACCGGCTGAATGATCTCGACTACATTGATTATACAGCCTTGATAGCGTCAAATTTTATTTTCTGCAGAATATGACCTGGCTGATGAATAAGTTGTCTAAATTATTCGGTTTATCTACAAACGCTGGGAAGACCACTGTTTTTGAGCTTCATCCCTAACCAGAGGGCTCGCCTATGGATTACTTTCTGCATACAGTTTTAAATACCCAGGGGCGAAACTGTTACTTTTTACAGAAAAGTGACAACGGATCCTGCGAGTT